TGAGAAAACACTTCATCCCTCTGAGGGGACCAGAGCCCTGGAACAGGCTGCCCAGGGAAGCTGTGGAGTCTCCATCCCTGGAGACATTCCCAGCCAGCCTGGACATGTTCCTGTGTGATCTGCTCTGGGGGATCCTGCTCCAGCAGAAGGGTTGGACTGGATGATCTCCAGAGGTCCCTTCTAACCCTCACCAGGCTGTGATTCTGTGTGAATCTGTGAACTTCCCTCTAACACTGACCTGCTTTGAGCAAGAAATGAACTGAAGAAATTACCTTTCTGCAAATCCATCCTTGGTGAAGAAGTCACACTGCAAGAGCTCAGCACAGGATGGTCTTTTGTCTGGATCAATCTGCAAACATTTCTGTCAAATCAAGGGAAACATGAGAAGGCAAATAATTAGAACTGAAAGAAAAGCTTTAGCATTTGAGGGAAGTCAAGAAAACAGCTGCAAAACTCCCCCTTCTACGGGCTGTTATATTGAGATGAGCCCAAGAGACACTACTGTGAAGAAAGTGTCATGTTTGCTGGCTGCTGCCATTCCAGCCACTAATTCCCCTGCACAGGGAATTCCAGCTGGATCTATTACCAAGGTGTAGGCTTCCTAACTCCCACTGAGTGGACACACAGCTCCAAGAGCAAGGGGCACATGTGGATGTCAGCCCATCCAAGCCTACTTGCTTGCAGGCAGAAGGAGTGGGCAGAAAACACTCCATCCACTCCCTCTGCTAGCAAGAAAGGGGCTCTGTAGTACCTAAAAATCATCCAGTTAATTACCAGATGACTGGGAAAAGCCTGTTGGGAGACCTTTCCAAAGATCAACAAATGTAATGAGGTGTACAGGGGGCTCTGTGAACACATCAGCCCTTCTTCATCTTTCAAATCTCCTTGGAAAACTTAACCAGTGGGATGCTAAATGCTACATATCCTTCCTGGAGGATTTGCAGTGACCATTTTGGCCCTGGAGATGACTGGCTTAGTCTCCAGTGTCACTCAGGATGGGAGTTGTTGTATTACACAGGAAAGACATGGAGCTGTTGGAGAGAGGCCAGAGGAGGCCACGGAGATGATGGGAGGGCTGGAGCAGCTCTGCTCTGGAGCTAGGCTGGGAGAGTGGGGGTGTTGAGCCTGGAGAAGAGAAGGCTCCAGGGAGACCTTAGAGCACCTTCCAGTGCCTGAAGGGGCTCCAGGAAAGCTGGGGAGGGACTTGGGACAAGGGCAGGGAGGGAGAGGACAAGGGGGAAGGGATTAAAACTGGAAGAGGGAGATTGAGGGGAGACATGAGGAAATTCTTTGCTGTGAGGGTGGTGAGAGCCTGGCCCAGGTTGCCCAGAGAAGCTGTGGCTGCCCCCTCCCTGGGGCAGGTTGGATGGGGCTTGGAGCAACCTGGGCTGGTGGGAGGTGTCCCTGCCCATGCAGGGGGGTTGGGATGAGATGATCCTGAAGGTCCCTTCCAACCCAAACCAGTCTGTGATTCTATGATCTCTGCAGTCCTCATTAAGCTCCCAGCCCAAGCAGTTGCTCATTCCATGAGTAGCTGAGAGAAAAGACAGTTGAACAGCCTTTTCTGTGGGCTGTGTTCAGCTCCTCAAGGTGAAGGACAAGTAAACAGAGAACTATGCATAGCAAATGACAGTTAATTACCTTGGCTAAATCCAGCACTGCAGCAGAGAGCTTGGGATATCTTTTGTCCAGAGATTCAGCCTCCTTCACTTCAGGCAACCTCATGCCAGCAAAGAGGGGATTTTTATAGAATAACTCTTGGTGTCTAGGAATTAAATTACCTGGAATCACAGAAGCAAAGCAACCATGTGAAAGAAACACAGAGTAGACCCATGAAAACATCTGAGAGGGTGAAATACTGAGTCAGCACTAGTGCTACAGGTGCAGTTTGGGTTGTTCTCTCTCCACCTGTGCCCTGTGAATCCATGCTGCACTTGCAAGTTCCCAGTTCCCCCTCTGTAAAAGGTGCCAAGACCTACACCTTCTCAGAAGCAGCTCAGCACACCCCCCAGTCTTTCTCCCCACACCCTGCTCCCTCTGTCAGCATGTATTTTATACCCTTTTATTGCACTAGGAGCCCAACAGGCTGTTCTTACCCAGGCACTTGGTGATATGGTAGAGCTGGTCAATGTCTGAATCTCCAGGGAAGAGGGGCTCTCCTGTAAGCATTTCTGTTATCAGAGAGCCAATAGCCCACACGTCCACAGCCCTGGGAAGAAAACCCAAACAACATCCCAGTGTGGCTTCATTTGTCTCTTTGATCTACAGGCTGAGCCAAGCAGCACACCCTCAGCAGGTGACAAGCCCCTAAGAAACAGCAAAGGCAGCTGCTCTCAAAGCTTCCAAGTGCTTTGCTCAAGGGCCAGGATTCAGCTCTTGAAGCAGAAGCCAGAGGTGTCAGATCAGGTTCCAAAACCCAATGCTTTAAAAATATTCATACAGCACAAGACATGAGGAGAATCTTGAGCTTCAGAGAGAACAAAGGGGTGCAGCTCCCCTTTCTGCTGCTCCCCCACTCTTCAAACACATTAACTGAAAATTCACTTGAAGTAATACAGGGACATCCACAGCCCTGCACAACTGTACTAACAATGACAGTTTCAGTTCTGACCTGGTTTTGTGGCACCAGGGATCCCAGTAAGACCCATCTCCTTCATCCCACCTCCACCCTCCTGAAATGTCCATCTAGAACTGTTTGGAGGGACTTTTCTGCTGTCCCTTCAGGGCTCCAGCAGCACAGGAGGGAGGTCTATCATAGCCTCCTCCAACACTAGCATCAGCAACTGAAAAGCTCCTACAGACAACAACCCAGGAATGCTGAGGGCTCTCCTCACACCTTTTGATGCAGGAAGGCCTAGCACTGGCAGCAGTGAGTGATGGAATGGGGGAGAGAAGAAGGATGGAACCTTTACAAGGGAATAATTAGGTCATGCTGAACAGCATCCCTTTAACCTGTTTGACAAGAAATAGGCCCCTGCCTCCCCCAAACACCAGGGCAGCCCCCTCCATTCACCCCACAACCCTTCTGCAGCCTTTCCTGCCAGTCTTACTTGCCATACTTGATGTCTCCCACCAGCAGCTCTGGAGCTCTGTACCATCGGGTTGCCACGTAGTCTGTGTAAGCTTCCCCAGAAGCTGCCAAAGTCCTGGCAAATCCAAAGTCACACAGTTTTACAACTCCTGACTGGGAAACTAGTATGTTCTCTGGCTTAATATCCCGATGGATTATCTGCACAGAGAAAAGCAAGTCAAGGCAAATCAGTTCCCCATTTCTACACAGTAAATCGACTGGCTCCCCAAAACCAGCAGCTTTTTCACATCCAGCTCCAGGACATTTTTGCAGGCATGGGAAACATATGGAGTATGTAACAGAGAGCTACGTGCACACGGTCAATGCACAAGTGCTCCCCAAGTGCACAGGTGAACACAGAACCTCTAACCTGTGCACACAGAAGCACAGATTTTGTGTATCTCTCTGCAAATGTTCTGCAGGTGCATTTACTAAAGGTATTTCCACAGGCACAATTTCATATACTTGAAAACCTGTCCTTGGCCACAATTGAAAAGCTGTAAATATTTCAAGGTTGTGGGCATGTCCTGCAGTTCAATGTGAAGAGTATTTTAGGAACCCATAAGAGACAACCTTTCCCAAACATAAATTAGAGTGTGTTTATGTTTCTAGTTCCACAACTACAATGAAACTGCCAAACCTTTGAGAAATCAGTAGAGAACCTACAAATACTGAGGAGAAAAAGCAAGCCTACATGTTACAGAGCTGCTGCCAGAATCAAACCTTTGAAAGAGAGACCAGCAAGGTGCCACCTAGTATGGGAAACCCTCTCACAAATCAATCAGAGCTGACACCAAGCTCTGACATTTGATATGAAATTCAGCCCGGCTGTTCTGTCCTGCCTCCTTAAGTCAATATATATATATAAAAAACATATTTTAATATACATATAAAACACAGGCTTGTCTATCTGCCCATTCAAGGGTCACTGCAGAGCTGACTTCTTGCCCAGACTTACGTTGTGACTGTGACAAAATGCTATTCCCCTGATAATCTGAAATAGGTATTTCCGAACGCGGCCGCAGTCCAGCCCGTGTGGAAAGGCCTCCAGGTCATCCAGGACTGTGTGATCCACAAATTCAAACACCAGGTACCACCGTTTCTTCTTCTTATACACTTCCAGCAGGTTCACCAGGTTCTCGTGCCTGAGTTGCTGTGATAAAACAAGGACAGGTTTTGTGAGTGCTTGACAGGGTATAAATGGGTAAAGATACTTTTAACTGCAGCCAAACTGCCCTTTCTTCTTATTCTTAATACTCTTAATATTTAGAATTATTCTTAATACTCTTAATATTTTAGAATAGGTTTTATTTTGCCATTTTATTTTCTGTTGTTTTGGTTTTTTTTTAACATTACCTGGAGGGTTTCCATCACCTCATATATGCAGGCACCTGTTTTTGTCACCTAAAAAGAAATCAAACACCGACTAAGGAGGTTCCTTCTTAGTGGGGATGCTCAAATGACACTGTCCTGTTGCTGGAAAACCTTGTGCCTTCTGCTTCTCACAACACTTCCCTCACAGAAGAGGTTACACCAATTCATGCTCTGATCTTGAGAAGCTTCAGGAAAGCCTATGTGAGAAAAACCTTGAGGAAATCAGGACCAATGCCAGAGGAGCATGTGAGGGACAGCAGGCACCTGACAGCACCTCCCAGAAACACTTGCCATGGGAAAGGGAAATCCAGAGGTCTCCCATGTAAAAGAAAAGCAAAAGCAGCTGCAATACTCCTCTCTCCTACCCAGCTGCTGGTTCACTACCAGCTACTCAGTGCCTGTAATTTCATTTTTTCCTAATAAGGCTTAAATCATGTCCCTAAGTACCACATCTCCAGAATCATCCAGGCTGGAAAAGACCTTGAAGATCAAGTCCCACCATAACCTAATCTACCCCTTCAGTGCTTAAACCACAATAAAAGGCTGTTAGAAGACTTTTCCTTTAAGCCCCTACCATGCCCAAAGCATTTCTGTTGGCCCTGCTAAATAAAACACATTTATCAAGAACTAACAAGTGCCAGAACACTGGATAAAAGGGAAACTCAGCATTCTTACCTATAAGAGTGTTAACAGTTAAGCAGCTTCCATTAAACTGTGTCTCATGGATTCAGAATGAAAACTGACCAGGATTTGAAGATCTTTCCCCACTAACAGTAGGCAGCTGGGAAAGATTAAGTTAATTTAGAGAAAAAAACCCCAAACCCTACAACCCAAATGAAAGAAAAAGAAAGCTGCTGTGTTCTCTTTGTCTGTTTTCACAGTGTTGTGACTAAAAAAACCTTCATCTCCAAATTGTTACACATTTGCAAGGAAGGTTGATCACACACCAGGTCATGCTACAAGGTGTGGTTATTTATTAGCTTGGAGAAATACCACGGGAGGCTGCTCCATAGCCCCAGGGCTTGGGACCAGGGAAGCTGCCAAGGGGCTGCAGAGCACTGGGGAGACTGGCAGAGGGAATGCTTTGCCACCCAGAGGGAGCACATGCCTCTGCCAAAGGCCCAGATGCCTTAGATGGGCTGAAAAGTAAAGATTTTTTAAAATATTATCCATTAGGAAAAAACAAACCAAACCCCTCTTCTCTCAAGAATCAGTTCTTCCCAGCACAGGAGACCTGAAGAGGTTTTGCTGTTTTTGGCCATGATTAAATTTCTGCCCAAATTCCAGAATCACAGAATCCTAGGGATTGGAAGGGACCTGGAAAGCTCCCCCAGCCCAACCCCCCTGCCAGAGCAGGGGCACCCAGGGCAGGTCACACAGGAAGGTGTCCAGGTGGGTCTGGAAAGTCTCCAGAGAAGGAGATTCCACCACCTCTCTGGGCAGCCTGGCCCAGGGCTCTGTCACCCTCACAGCAAACAAGTTTCTCCTCATGTTGAGGTGGAACTTCCTGTTTTGTCACTTGGTGCCATTTCCCCTCCTCCTGTCCCAGGCACCACTGAACAGACACTGGCCCATTCCTGACACCCACCCTGCAGGTATTGACAGACATTCATCAGGTCCCCTCTCAGTCTTCTCTTCTCCAGACTCAACAGCCCCAGGTCTCTCAGCCTTTCCTCCTCAGGCAGGTGTTCCAGTCCCTTCATCACCCTTGTAGCCTCTGTGGGACTCTTCCCAGTAGATCCCTGTGCCTCTGGAACTGGGGAGCCCAGAACTGGGCACAACACTCTTACAAGGGCAGAGCAGAGGGGAAGGAGAACCTCCCTTGCCCTGCTGGCCACCCTGCTCTTAATGCATCCCAAGACACTACTGGCTGTCTTGGCCACAAGGACACACTGCTGTCCCATGGATCACTTGTCCACGAGGACCTCAAGGAGGGGAAAAAAATGTATAAAAAATTGAAAAGAATGAAGTTCACAGGGAGCAGGCAAGTGAAGAACTACAAAAAAAGACTAAATCTCTAGGTATTTGTTATCACTGCAGGATGACACATCTATTGGCCTATAGAGGGAAACGTTCCCCTTGCTAAGTGCTCCTGTTTATCCAGGAAAACAAGTTAATTCTCAGCACCCACGGGAGGTGGCAGTAAATGCTTTGACTGGGAGACGAGAGCCTGGCCAGCAGAGCAGGTACAATCCAGACTTGGAAGGAGGTGAAGGGGACAATGCCCAGGGCTGCTGGCTGGTCAAGCTCCAGCACCTACATCCCCATCACCTCTAAGGGTCTGTAGCTCTTGCAGTGCTGGCAGGAATCACCTTTTTTATTTTTGCTTGACAGCACAGAGACCATAGTCTGGGAGACCTGTGAAGAGACACCCACAGAAGCCTGGTCTAGTGGGAGGTGTCCCTGCTCATAGCAGGGAGGTTGGAACCTGATCTTCAAGGCTCCTTCCAACCCAAACCATTCCCTGACTCTAAGAAAAATGCTGCAACTCCTGCTCGAGTCAGCAGTGACAAACACAGGGACTGAAGGTGGACAAAAGGGCAAGCAGAACAAGGGATGTGTGTCCTGCATGGAATGTCAACCCTTTATCCTTTCCAGGAAGGAGCACAGCAGAAAAACCTGCCACTGGAACAGTTTAGGAACCTGCAAAAGCTTCTGTAGGAAGAACAAAGCCAACAGAGGAAGCAGGAAAATCATCCAAGGAAATGCTGGGAGTAAAATGCACAAAAGCCTGTTTACCTAAAGCTCCTGGGTTATTTTCCCAGATGGTGTCTACAGGGCACATGAAGAGAAGTACCTTTAACCAACCAAGGCACAGCATGAGGCCACATAACACTGCTGGTAAGAAGCCAACAGGCTGAAGTACAAGTGGACATTTAGGTGAGCATAAAGCATCCACATCCAGGCAAATCATGCACTCAAACAGCAGAGGACAAGCCCAGGGGCTTGCCATTGATTGATAGGGTCCAGGGAATTTGATACTTGTCCTCCTCCAGCCCCTTGCTGGCAGCACAAACCTGCCAGGAAAGTGCCACTAATGTAAGAAAATAAAGTACAAATTGCCTAGAAGCAAATGTAGGTGCCAGGTAAGCCCAGCATGCAGCCTGCTGAGGGATGCTGCCACAAATCCAGCTCCCCACTCACCTGCAGGTTCTAAAAGCTCAGCATTTCCTCCCCAGCAAACCCACAGCAGCCAAGTGCTGTACTTGGGTACACAATGCAGGGGGACAGCTCCCACCGGGAGGCTGTAATCAGGTCAGGCTTAGCCAGGCACGCCCAGCACAGCCCTCAAGCCAAGGGAAAAGCAGCTCTGCAAGGCTACAGCTCGAAGGCTAAAGGAACCTGCCACCGCTTGGCTGCTCCTGGAAACACACACACGGGCCAAAACAAGTTGCTTTTGGTTTGGGCTTAGTTATATTCTGCATGGTTCTGGTCAGAAGCAGCTGTGTTTCCCTTTCAAAACTAAGCCAATGGCTTAAACTTACACCTACCCTAGAACTCCACTAGATAAAACACCACTCCTTAAAGGACTATGAAGCAGTTTCAAGATGCTGTTTCCTCTCAAGAACCCAGGCAGATCTAACCCACATCCATCACTTCTAAACAACCAGCACCTTCCACAGCAAGAAAAATTCAGGCATGAAGGTTATAATTCTTCTTGAAGAAGGCATTTGCCTTCACAGAGGTCTTGAAACACAGGGCTAGGATTCAAAACGTGCTGCACTCACAGGGCTGAGCCACACACCAGGGCTCTCCTGGTCCATGGAGGATCCAGGTGGAGCCACATCCATCCTCTTGGCTCTGCAGGAGGCTCGACAACTCATGGAATGGTTTTGGTGGGAAGGGACCTTCAAGATCATCCAGTTCCAACCCCCCTGCATGGGCAGGGACACCTCCCACCAGCCCAGGTTGCTCCAAGCCCCATCCAACCTGCCCTTCAACACTGCCAGGGATGGGGCAGCCACAGCTTCCCTGGGCAACCTGGGCCAGGCTCTCACCACCCTCACAGGGAAGAATTCCCTCCTCATGTTTTACCTCAATCTCCCCTCTTCCAGTTTTAATCCATCCCCCCTCATCCTCTCCCTCCCTGTCCCAAGTCCCTCCCCAGCTTTCCTGGAGCCCACCCCCCAAAAAAAACCCCACCGGCTGG